ATGAGCTATGTAATTTAGACACGTAGGCACCATCCAGCATTTTGATTGGTTAATTAGCGACTTGACCTATCCGGTCAATAATACGTCACGTGAGCATTCAAAAGCATGGCGGATATCGTATCGGCCGTTTACATGTGACTGAAATCATTCGCTTACGGGGAAACTAAGTTGAATTTTACTTGCATTTTATAACAATTCAACGAATTTATTTTTCGTGCGTTATTGTAATCACTACAAATAATAATCACCAATATCAACACTTCGAAAACAAGTAAGTTATTCACTTGTGACCAGCAGCATGGCCGGATCGAGCTACATGTGATCATTTGCTACTATAAAGCAGTGCATTCATGTTTTTATTTGAAACTTCTGTTAGAATACATCATGTATACTTTTCGTTACCAAGAAAATTAAAAAAATAAATGCATATTACATTAAAAATACTGAGTATTTTTTGTATCATGTGGAATTTTTTTTTGATTGACTGTAATTTTTCAACATTTCGTAACGCCTATTTTAGAACCAAAATAAGGCCCTTCACTCTTCCCCGACGCCTATTCAAGAGATTGTACGGTGTATTGTTTGTTTTGTGCATGTGTTGTGGACAAAAAATGACCACGCCCATTTAGTGATTGCAATATGTACGTAATAGAAACCGCACCCCCAACTTGAGCTTTTGATCCCAATTTTTAAATTGATACATTGTAATATAAACCGCGGTTTATAATAGGACTTTAACGGTACATATTAATTACCTAATTTGCATAATTAACCAATTTTAAGCTTTCACTCTGATATCTAAAGTACTAATTATTCCATTTCAATGAAACTTAGTACAAAGATGCTCTAGGACAATGTACAAACCTAATTAGTTTGGGGTAAAAATCTGTTCATATTAATTCCCTAATAAGCATAATAATTCATAATTTTTTGGTTTTAATCACATTTCAATTAAACTTGGAGACATAGATTTTCTGTTACATTGCGCAGACCTCATTAGTTTTACACTCAAATCTGGTCATATTAATTTTCTGATTTGCATAATTAGTTTTCAGCCAAGTTACTTTCGAATTATATTTAATGTGTCTCCAATACTCTCAGCACATGGGAGTTCTTTCTAAGCTTTCTTTCATTTTTTTTGCGATGAGTCATTTGTTTTTATACTAAAATATCTGAATTACTTTGAATAAAGCTGGAAATTATGTCCCTTAAAATAATTAAACAAATAAGGCACCAATGTTTTTGTAAGATATTTACATCTTTTAAGGACATTCGGAAGGCTGATTCTCCCCACTGTTGGTTCAACCCCAAAACTTGTTTGTATTCAAAATTAATTATGACAATGCATATTTATATTGAAACAAACTATGATAAAGGGAATTATATTATATAACAAAGGGCAAGGTCACCAGAGTTCAACTATGTTAATAATCAAGTATGCAATAAATGCATTTTCTGTTTATGTGTGCTTGAGTTGTGCTTCTAATACAGCAAATACATGTATATATGACTATAATTGTTTCTTTGCTTTTAGTGTTGGATGAGTACACCACAGGTTCACATGATGCTGGTGATCCCTTAACCACTAATCTATATATTGGTAATATCAATCCAAAGGTATGTTTGTAAAATCTAGAATAATTTATTAAAATGTTTCAGATATTTTTGGCAATTCTGAAATATCAACTATAAACTTTTTTGAGTTTGTATATAAATGATAACAAAATGAGTTGGGCTTCTCTGTAACCAGTGATTAGTCACCATCCTTATTATATTGCATACTTTAGATGACTGAGGAAGACCTTTGCAGAGAGTTTGGTAAATTTGGGCCTTTAGCCAGTGTTAAAATAATGTGGCCAAGAACAGAAGAAGAAAAAGCTAGAAATAGAAACTGTGGTTTTGTAGCTTATATGAATAGAAAAGATGCAGAAAGAGCTCTGAAGATGCTACAAGGTTGGTTTGTTTCAGAGTAGATGTTTATCTTTTAAGGTTGGGTTTACAAAGACGTTGTGTATGTAGATTGGTGGGTATATAATCTGCAATGAGCGTGTGTAAGTTACTGCTCGGTGGGTGTGTGAGCTGCTCGGTGGGTGTGCGCACTGCGAATTGTGTGTGCACGCTGCTCGGTGCATGTGCACACTGCGAATTGTGTGTGTACGCTGCTC